TTTGTCTAAGCCTTTGCCTTTTGAGCCCTTAGGAAATGAGTACAGAGGCCAGAAGCTGGGCCTTGGGTGTTCCCTAAGACCCTAGTCTTTCCTGCTAGCCATTTCCACTGTGTTCTCCACAAAGCAGGGCCTGCCTGTGGTGCATGTGGGAGAAACTGCTGACCAACCTACCCAAGCCACGGGTGCCCAGGCCAGCCTGCATGAGCATGCACAGCAGGCACTTCCTCCCTGAGCCAAGCCTGCCTCTACACCCAAAGACAGCTAAGAGATACCTGACCAGAGACACCAATGAGGAAAGGACAACGCAGCAGAGTCAGCCGCCTGAGCCAATGGGACCTTGTGAAGGGGTATAAAGGCGGGTCTAACTTCCTTAATAAATGAGTCTGCAGCACCCTCTGCTACTCACTGACTCCCAGTGCCTGAGTCGTTGGTGCTGCATCTTCTCACCCCCTCCCCCAACGGGTGTCCGAGCAGGGTCACCCCCGACATCACTTTATAGAGAGGGCTGGATGTCTTAGACACAAACAATCCACTAAAATAGCACTGAATTCTGAACATGTTTATTTTTCTCCTGCCGCCGCATCCCTGAGCCAGGTAAACTTAACTAGTGGGTGGAGTTAAAAGTGCGTGGCTGCTGACTGACACTTGTATGGATCAGCATCACAGCTCCTGTCTCCTCCTGCCAAATGGAAAGCCTTTTATTCAAAGGATCCTCTGCATCTAATGTAGAAGCGGGATTTGTTTTCTCTGCCTTGCTGCCTCTTTGAAGTGTTGGACATTTAGCTGTGCAATTAACTACCCAGCCTTCAGTAGAGGCTCGAAGACTTTCATTTGAACCTGAAAGAAGCTGGGCAAGAAGAGAACAAACACTTGGAAGATGATGAAAAGCCAAGCCTTGAGAAAGGGCAGCAGGGCTTTCTGGCTTGACGGGGTGAGAGTAGCTGCCCTGGCAAGCCTGGCTCTCTGCATGCTGTGAGCCTCAACATGGCAATGGTGTCCACGCTGCCTTGTTAAGTTCCCCCTAGCTTGTGGCCTTGACCTATAACGGGGCCTGGCATCTCTCCACTGGCTTAGCATCAGCTCCTCCGTGCAGGAATGTCCTCACCATGCCAGAGCTTAGGAGTCTCCAGGGACACCCACCTGTTTGTCATTGGGAGAAACTCGGCACACCTCCATTCTCTTCCTCCAGCCTTTCCTCAGGCCTGAGACCTAGCTGTGTCCACAGTGCCAGCTCTACATTGATCCTCTGCTCTGGTCACTTGGCGCTCCCACATACAGTGTCCTTCCATGTGTCTGTGAGGCTGCACATTCTGCTTCCTCTGTCCTTCAACCCTCTGGATAATTCATGCTCAGCTCCTGAAGTCGTTTTGGTGATACTTATTTTTCAAAGCCTTTCTCAAGTTTCCTTCATACTACTGTCTTAAGTCAGGCCTCTTCTTTCCCCTATGGGGCCCCTGGCTTTCTCTATTCTTTATGCTGTACCACACATACCCCTTGTTTGCCAGAGCAGGCTATCATTTGTAAATTAAATGCATTCTTTGGCCAGCCTCTTTGTCTTAGGCAGTCCTGCAATGCACCTTGACGTCCACAAGGGGACAGGCTCCCTCACTAGTGGGGCCCTGCTATTTCTCAACTGTCTTGAGAGTTCACTCCAGCATGAATTCTCAGAAAGAAGCATGACTAAAACAGGGATTTTTTTTTCTCTCTCTCTCTCTCTCATTGAAATAGAGCAAGGCTGCTGTTTTCGGAGCTGTCGCAGATCCTGTTTGTCCATAATATGCAGAAACTATTTTTAAAATGACACGTGCTACCACACTGAAATGCACAGACATTCACGGGGGACGTCCCCCCACCCCCACTTTAAATCCTACCTTGCTCATTCACAAGTTTGTGAAGGTGTAGGGGAGAAAGACTGGGCAGATAATAATTAAATGTTCACTCTGGCCACGGTTTTCAGCACCATGTGTGCAGAGTAAGGGGACCACAGGGCAGGGCCCCAATGACTGGGGACTTTTTTCTTGTGAACTTTTATTGGGGTCTATCATGAGTTGTGACTGTCACCTAAGGTGTCTCCTGTTTTTACAAAACCTCCCTTTGAGCCTCCTCACATCTCCTGCAAGACGCAGCAACGCCCCTTCCCTGAGCTCTGTCTGTCTGCTTCCCGGTCTCACTTCTCTATTGAATGTGTCATCTCTGGCCTCGCGCTCGGTTTGCCAAATGCCAGGAGCTGGGCCACAGCTGTCACAGTGAAAAATGAAATTGAAAAAAATGGCACGCGCTCTCTGTTTCTTAGCGTTCTCAGGAACTGGATGTGTTTTCTGCGTTTCTGTGGAAGGATGTTTGAGCCAGCCTGTGAACGGCAAGCAGACTTGGTTCTGCAGTCTCGGTCTGCAGGAAAAGGGCACTGGATGTCATGGACACTAACTGACAGTGAACTTTTTGAAGGGTCACTCCAAGCATAAAACAAACAGGCCCTCACTGTAGCAGCCCCATGTCCCCAGCCCATCTCCAGGCCTGCGGAGCCCACCAGGTAGGTGCCTTGACCCTGCCTGGACTTTGGTAGCTCTGCACTATATACCTCAAGACCCCCATTCATGGGCTGTCCTAGCAGTCATGTGGCACAGCCAGGTACCAGGACATAGTCCCCAGACTGGCCCGGAGTGCAGACATGCAGAATCCCAGGCAGGTCTCCAGTCTGGTCCAGTGCCAGGGTCTGCTGTTTCCTAGCCATGTGCCCTTCTTCTGTGTGCTTCTACTCTCTTGTGTGGGACATTGGGCTGACAAGGTACATCTCACCGCGTTTCTATGAGTATTAAAACACTTTGTTTTCAATCACCTGACACTTAGCAATTCATGCCCACAGTCCACAGTCCAAGCAGGATTTGGCAGCCATTCTAAGGAGCTGGGTAATAAATCTTTTTAGTTCTACAGCCCATATAGGTGGCAGGATACTTGTCTCATCTGTGGTGCAGAAGAGGTCCTAGATGCCACATAAAGAAGTGGCCTGGTTGTTTCTAATAAAACTTTATTTATAAGGTCTAATTTCTAAGAAGATGTTTGCTTTGGTGACTGCATAGTTGAGGGATGGGCAAGGGGGCAGAGAATTCACAGTCAGCTATGTAGTGTGGGGAGGCAAGGAGACAGATGTTCCTGTGTAGGAGTCAGATGGTTGCTATAGCCTCTTAAGTCAGGTTCAGACACCACCTTAGGGATTCTGGGACCAGGTATCCTGTGTTCCTCTCTCTCACACACACAACATTGCTGCATATGGGCCCTTGGCTAGGCTGAGCCCCCTTGTGCATCAGTGAAGATGGAGCAATCAAGAGCCTGCACAGACATGGAGGAGATGTAGCAGGGCTAATGAAGTGGGCAGATACTGAAATGTGTCCAAGTCCCCAAGCTTCTCCTGCATAACCACAGATTCAGAGTAGCCCTCTGGCTCCTTCCTGTCACTCAAACCACACAGAACTCTCCAGGTTGCTTCCTGTGTGGCCTTTGGAGTACCCTCATTTTCAGCTTCCTTCTCCCTCTACGCCTGAAGGCTTGGTGACAGTCCCACCACCCCAGTTCCCTGTCCAGTGGAAGGAAGGGCAGGGAGAAGACTAGCCAGAGGGTGTGGCCATGGAGCACCCAGGAACTTGATAACTGGTGGTGATAATGCCTTTCCTCTCCACCTCCAGGGATGAGTGACTAAGTAGTCACCGTCCTGTAATGACAGACATGGCCGGGCCATTGCAGAGATTCCTCTTAGGAGCAGATGCAGCAGAATTTGAGCTGGATACAGATTCCTACCCTGCCTCCCTAAGGTGTTCTGTCCCCAGTCAAGCAGAGCATTCACCCCCTGAATATGTCCTATGACATGAAGTTGTCATAACTGTTGTTCCATATACCAGCAGGGACCAGTTTCTTGTGAGCCTGGCTGAGACACTTGGTGCAGAAAGTGGTTCAGAGATGCAACAGGCAACAGCCACCTACTTCCTTGTTTGCTTCCGAGTCTGCTAAAAAGACTTCAGGTGAAGGTGACGAGGGCTCTGTGACTGGGTGAGCATGGTGTCCTGTGGATGGTCTAGAGAACAGGTAGCAGGCGAGGTACCGGGGCCCATATAACAAGGAACAATGGCATGTCTGAGGACAGGGATATAGTCCGGTCAGATGGCTCAGGACAGCATGCAAAGAACGTGGATGGTTCAGACTACTCAGGCAACCTGAGTTGCTACTGAGGGTTCTTGAGGGAACACTGCCTTCTCCAGGGCCTAGGGTTCTGCCCATGACCACAGGTTCCCTGGAGGGCACCGATTTGACATCCTGGCACATGGCTAGAAAGTTTCTCTCGGGGGCTTGTTTTTCCTTTAGCAAGTGCTGAAGGGCTGTGGGTTAACTTTGCTTGGAAGGGTCTGCAGCTTTACATAACATTGGCTAACATACATAACAGGTCTGAGCTGGGCAGCCTTCTAAAACGTAAACCCCACTGTCCTTTGGTGGCTGTGGGTTATGACAGCTGGAGAGAAGCTGCGAAGGGGCCATGACCCTTGATATGAAGCCAGGGCTTTGCTGTCAAGGGTTTCCCTGAGATGCAGCCATGGCTCCTAAATGAGCCACCACTTGGTCTGAGCCCAGTGCTCTGCTTCCAACACTCCTCCATTAAGGGGGGCAAGTTCTGGGTTCAAATCTTTTCTCCCTATCTATTTCCCAGCCCAAGTTGTTTGCCTCCCATCTGATCAGTGAAAACTATACAGCTTTGTTAGTACAGGTAATGCACTATGAGTGATGGAATATACCTAGCATGGAGCCCACCATGGGCAGGAGAACCTTCTTTGTCACTGGCTGACATCCTCGAGCCACTGTTTAAAGGTGTAGAGTATGTAGGAGAGACTCTTAGAGTGTTTCACATTGTTTGCAGGTAAGAGTGTTACCTCATCTTACAACCACTGCAGGCCATCCCAGCTATTCTGTAGTAGTTGGGGGGGGGGTGAGGGAGGGCAGAAGGATCATATTGCGTTTCCAAGGCCTTTATTGGTAAGGGGAGAGCATCTACAGTTGACTGATGGGAACCGGGCAAGGGATGTAACAGTCCCAAGGGGAGAGGAATACAAACGAGGAGAGAGCCAGTCAGGGTACGGGAAGGGTCCTCTCCTCCCCAAAAGGCACTGACGGGTGAGCACCCTGGAGCAGGGTAGGGGCCTATACACACAGGGCTAGCAGAACACAGGCTGTCTTGAAGCTAAATACAGCCAGCCTAGGTGAACAGCATCTTTGAAGCCACAGCTGCCCAGGGCTCCTCTGGACATGAAGGAAAGCCCCCAGAAGGCAGGCAGAGCTTAGGAAGAGCAGCCCAGCCTTTCCTCTTAGTGTTTTGTGCAATTTAAACAACAACAAAATAAATATAACTTACACACTTCTTAAAGGGCACTAAAGTCTAGTCTGGGGAAAGTGGCTGAAGCAACCTTCGGAGGAGTGTGCAAAGCAGGGCTGACCACCGAGGACTGTGATGGCCACGGGCAGGAGGGCTCCGTGGACCCGCCTCTGCACACTGGTGCACGTAGCCTGTCCCATGTCCCGTAGCCAGGACCTTGGGAGTCTCCACCACGACCGTGAAGATGGTTTATCGGACTGCCAGAAGTTCTGGGAAATTCCACCTGAACTCTATTTGTCCCAGTGGAGCAGGAAGGAGGGGTTCTGGTAGGAGAGGAGGGGGACAATGGCTTGGGAGATACAGTGTGGGTGCTAACGTGGTCAATACAAAAACCCAACGAAGCGAAACGCCCTTAGTAACAGAATAACCCTAGGAAGATGCCTTCTCCACAGCACCTTACAATGCACGCCAGTGCAAAGCACTGTCCAGCACTGTCCTGAGTTCTTGCGACCAGTGGGAGTCACAGCACAGAGCACATTTCTGTGATAGGTCATTCCTTCTTAAAGTGCTTGGTGAGTCATGTTCTCTTACATACATTAAACTGGTCCCTGGCAGTTTTGTTCATAGCATAGTTTGCTTTAGCAGACATTTTTTTTTTCTGAGATAGCAGTAGAGGAGTTTGGGCCAGATCATAGCTATAGACTCTTGGAATTAATGATGCCCCTTCCCAGCATACGGCTGATGTACAGACCATGGATCCCCTCAAGCCCTCCAGCAACCACAGCTGGGGAGTCCCAGAGCTTGCTGCCTGCTTGCTACTGCCCTCCCCCACTCCAGGCTGCCTGTCTTCCCATCACGTGCTGTCACAAGGTCTGGCTCGCTCACTGATGGGGGTGCAGGGTGGGTGGCAGTGTGACCTTTAGAAAGTCAGCCCACACGGGAGCTCACCACCATCTGAACAGGAGCCAGGAAGCTTAAATGAGTTCCTTTTTAAAATCTGTACTTATACATCCTCGTGGGTCCCACCTCCCGCCCCCACCAACTGTCACTCACCCACCAGCATGAAAGGGGAAACGTATCACATGGGCCAACAGTTCTAGAAACCCCAGGGAGCTAGGGTAGGACGCCAAGACGGCCACCCCTGCCCAAAGCTATTCTTGGCAGGTGTGTACATGTTGGCCTACCCCGTTTCCCTCAGTGTTCCCAACCTGTGTCTGCTGGCCTGGTACCCAGAAGAGCATCCATACGTGAGACCCAGAAGTCTCAGTAATAGGGGAGGTGACAAGTCCGGAGGACAGCTCCAAATGGCAACAAAGCTTGGAGTTTTGTCTTTTAGCCGTCACACAAATCATACACCCTTTTCAATCAGAGGTCACTGTCTCCACAGTTGCAGCGGTGACTAACAATTGTCCTTCAAGCCCTTCAAGCAGCTCAGAGCTCCAGGAAGGAGGAGGCTTGGGATGGCCCTGGGCACCGCTATCAACACTGAGAACTACCCACACAACACTGAGAAATATTGGCCTAAGCCCTTCAAGCTGGAAGAGCAAGAGACTTCAAGGGAGATTTAGAAATTATTCCTGGAAGCTCAAATCCTGCTTCCCTAAGGCCTGAACAGCCCAAATTGTTAGAGGTTCCCCTATGGAAGAACTCTGGGCACTGAGGCAGGGGTGACTGGCTACCAAGGATTTGGTGTGGCAGGCTCTGAGAGCTGCGGAGGGTTGGTGTGGACCGTGAGTATTCTACCCAGCTCTGGACCATCCCTTGGCAGGGCAGACCTAAGGGAGGTAACAAAGCCTGGCTTTGCAGAATGACCCCTCCGAATTCATGGACAGTGGTCCCAGATGCAAGAGCAAAGTTCTTTAGAAGAGGTCGAGCTGCTCGCCATACTTCCAGCTCCTAGCCTGGCCTGAATCCCAAGTGTTTAACACAAGGTGGGGTCCTGATTTAGCATCTCTGGAAAGGCCACACAGTGCTCCTGGAAACTGAGCCCTCTCCTTGGAGAATCCTTTGCTCATCAGCCACATGCAGATTCCTCAGAGGTTGTATTCCCAACTCCCAGAAATCAGGACCCTGGCCTGGCTTCAGGGCCCATGGTGGGAGGTACCAATGGGGCAGTGTATACTGATGGCACCAGCCACCAGGGGCAGGAGGGCTCTACGGGTGGTCAGTCTGGGCCTGAACTTTCTGGGGGTCTCCCAGAGGGAGGCTCAAATTCTCAAGACCCCCGTGAAAACCCGTGGCCTCTTAAGACCCAGGCCAGCCCTAAGTGCAACTGTACAGGATGTAGGGCCTAGCTTTGGATGATTCTGTTCCAGAAGGCAGTTCTATTTAGAGAGATTTAGAAACGCCACCTCCAGGCCCTTGTGTAGGAAGGAAAAAGAGACTTAGAAAATCTCTTTTCTTCTCCTAAGTGTCCTGTAGTGCAGATGGGAGGCTCTGTTCTAGGTGGGCGCTCAGACAGGAATGAAGGAAGAGTTAGGGGAAGAGGGGAATGGGGGGCAGCGGTGGCAGGCAAGGTGGTGGTGGCCTCAGGTGAGAGGGCTGCCCTGGGACATTTCTGTCAGGATGTCGATGAGGTTGTTCAGCCCCGAGAGGTAACCATCCTCCCGGTTCCCCTCCTGCCAGGGGATGTCGTGTTGTAGGGTCTGTCCTTCCGGCAGGGGTGTAGTCTTCCCAAAGTCGATCATCCACACCTTGGCTTGTTCCTTCTTGTCATGGATGAAAAGGAGTGAGCTGCCAATGACCTGCAGGGAAGCAGGACTATGAGAAAGGGAGCAGGGAAGCAGGGCTAGGACCAGGCTGAGGCAGGATTGGGAGGAGAGGAGGTAGATGGATATGGCAGGGCTAGGAGGAGGGGGAGGCAGAGCCTGGAGAAGAGGAGTAGGGCTTGGAGGGGGAGTGGGGCTAGGAGACACAGCTAGGGTACTTAGGTATTTGAGAGGCTAAGAAAGGCCCAGGGCTACATGATCCTGACGGAGGCTTCCGACTGGAACTGGAACTGGAGGTGACAGTGAGGGGTGTCAGTCAAGCAGGCGAGGCATGCCTGTCAGTCTGAAGGCTCAGGACCCTACCTCATGGCACTTGAAGAAGGGAGAGACTTCCAGGGTTTCTCGAATGGCCTTCAGTCGGTCCCGGTAGGCAATCTGAGGACAGAGATGGTCAGGGTTACACGTACTCTGTTTGTTGGGGTGCTACGCCATCAGATCTATTTAGTTCATTAGAGTCACTGAGTAACAAGCAGCAGTGACCTTGAACTCATCACCTCACTATTCCAACCTCACTTACCCAGCTGAGCTCAGAGTCACACCCTTCCCAAAGGACTATGTGTACCCTCAACCTCCTCCAGGAGGGGGCAGCCCATCCCAGCATGCCAGGCATCAAAGTCAGAGCCCAGAACTGGTTGCTATGGTAACTTCTTGACCACGAAGTGCTGTGTCCATGACTAAAGACAGGGTAAGGGGAAAACCACAGTATCTTTACCGAGTCCCCTCCACAGAGCCTTACAGATCTTATTGTGTTAGCATCGTGGTACCTGATCATTCCCAAGGACCAGCTCTGTGAGTCTCATCATCCACGAGTACAGGGTCCCTAGGGAAGCCTATATCACAGGGTTCCAGCAGTGACACCGCCAGGTAGGACTAGTCAGCAGTGTCCCAGAGTCCCTAGCAACAGCGATCAACCCTTCTTGGAAATGCAGTTGGTGGCATGACTCTGAGGGTCTGAAATGACCCAGACAGGTGTTCAGGAGCCAGAGGACTGGTGCTGAAGACCTGCTGTGTGCATTCCAGCCATGTAAGTCTGGGCCTGGAGACATGGAAGTACAGGGAGCTTCTGTGTCAGGCCAGTTTAGGTGTGGCGCCTAGCTCTGTCTTTCTCTATGTGTGTTCTTGATCTTCCAAGTCTCCTTGTCTGCCAAATGGAGACAAGAATGTTTGCTTGCTTGTCCTCACCTGAGGGCTTCTGAGGGTATGTGACCAACGCTCAGTACAACACTCAGCCAGCAGTAAGTACTTTATAAAGGACTCTTGCCATAGTTGTCCCCTGACAGAGAAGGGCAGTGTCCTGGGACAGAGTGACTGACAGCTCAGGAGAATGAGCCCAGTGTCCCCAAGCTTCCCCGAGCAGCCGTGGATTGCCTTCATAAAGAAGTCTGGGGCTAGGGTTTCAGCATTAATCCTGGCTCAGCTAGGTTGGAGAAGAGATGGTCCCCTGACCCCAAACCCCGACTCACCAGTATGTTCTGGTTTCCTTTAGTGAATTCTCTGAAGGCCTCAGTGACCTGCTCCCTCGTTTTGGTCTTTTTGAAGTCACGGTTCACAGAGCCATCTTCCTTCTGAGGAGGAAAGTCACCCAGAAGAGTCAGCAGAGGGCCCATGTGACGAACTGCTCGAGACTACGGCCCTCATGCTGCTCGGTGGAGGTGGTCAGGAGCCCAGGGATGGTACAGCAAGGCAGGTGGTACAAGGCAGTTATCACCTGGAGCAGGAGCCTGTCCTGGGCCCCAACAGAGGGCTTCGCAGAGTGCCACTAGATTCCCTGGTCACATACTACTTTAGGAAGTCTTGGTGATATGAGGGGATCTGAGACCACAATGGAGAAGCTCCCTGTTCCAAGCAAGGGCAGCACAGGCCTAGGGCAACAGCTTTACTTCCTGCTCAGAAGCTTGGTCCCTGGACCAGTGCCTCCCATAAGTCCTATTACTGTGCTAGCAGTCATCTGAATGATCAAGCTAACTGTCACCCTATCATAGACTTGTGTTCAAGCGACCCTCATTTTATAGTGACCCAAAGCATGAGGACCACAATGCTGGTACTTGTTTTTTTGTTTTTTTTTAAGATTTGTTCGTTTATCATGTATAGTGTTCTGCCTGCATTATGCCTGCACACCAGAAGAGGGCACCAGATCTCATTACAGATGGTTGTGAGCCACCATGTGGGTGCTGGGAATTAAACTCAGGACCTCTGGAAGAGCAGCTACTGCTCTTAACCTCTGGGCCATCTCTCCAGCCCCAATGCTGGCAATTTTTATCATATGGCAAACAGAAGCTGTAAAATGTCTCTAAGGGAAAAGATATAAAAGGTGTGTGTGTGTGTGTGTGTGCGCACGCGCGTGTGTATTCATACATACTTGTACATGTATTTGCACAATTTCACATTGGTTCTCTAGATTCCAGACAATTGGTTTGGCTCTTGTAATGCATTGTAGATCAAGGGGATACTATACAGATTCCTCCAAAGCCTGTGGCGTAAGCCTGTGTCACTGCATTCCTACTCCCTCATTCACCATCTCCATATTCTGAGCTCAGTACTCCATCTGTCCATTCTGGCTTGGGCACACACACAGAGCTCTGTTCTCTTGAGAGAGAGGGAGAAAGGGTGGGCCCGCCTCCAGTTTGAAACAGGTGACAGCTATAAGGTAAGGGAGGCTTGCTTCAGGAAAACAGCAAGCAGCTGGGTCTGAGGGAGCAATGTGGGGACAGAACCTCAGGGAGCCTTCCCAATAGGGCATCCCCGCTAACAGACACAAGGAAGGGCAGATGATGGTACGTGCAGTCAGCCTCTCTCAGTCAGTGGATGCTGTTGGCTATATGATGCTGTGGCCTGGAGCACGTCTTGCCTGGGTGAGCGGTGCCAGGGTGTGCTGTTCAGACAGACCACAGATGGAGAGAGCACGTGTATATAATTTGCATCCAGTCTGAGAACTGGAGTAACCAAGAAGGAGGGCTGTTTTCAGAAGAGAAGGAAGGACAAATGGCTTTCTCAGTTCCCAAGCTCTAGAAGCCTGGTGATCACAGAAACACACATCTCCACATTATGTGAGGGAAAGCTGTCAGCAGCCTCCCTCATTTCAGCTACCCAACTCTGACTCCATGCTAGAGAGGGGGCCAGGCAGACCCTTCCTGAGTGGAGAAAGGGAGGACCCGGGGCCCTTGGGGGGACTCCCACCTGCCCTGAAAGCATGACTGCCTGAGACACGAGGAGCCTGTACTCCCTCTCCCTGCTGCTAGCAGGCCCTGCAAGTCTAGCAGTTAGGGACATGGAGTGGAACACAGGGACAGGGACAGTCTTCTGAGATCCTTTTCAGAGCACCCAAGAGGGAAGAATGGAGGATGAGTTTCCCAGGTGATCCCAGGTAGCCACACGCCTCTCCTTATTGGTACCTCACTGGCAGTCAACATCTTCCCTGTGGCAGGCATCTAAGCTGGCTCCTGTGTGGAGTCCTCTGTAAAGCCCTACAAATTAGCCACCCCACCCCAAGGTCCGATGGTCTTTCACAGCCAGCCCACCTGTATCTCTGGCTGCAGAATGGGTCAACACCCCTGAGGCTACTATCCATACTTAAGTCTGTATAAGTGAGCCTCATAGACTCCAGTATCCCAAGGCCCTCGTCACCACTGACAACCGTGAGGCCTCAGCATCCTCAGGCCACACCTCACAGGTCTCACCTTAATGCCCTCGATCCTGAAGCCCAGGGTAGCCGTGGAACTGATAGTTTCTCTCCACTGCATGTAACGTGGCTTAGTCACAGCTCGCTGGGCTTTCTCCTCCTCAGTTGGGGCCTCAGGGTCCACCTCAACCATCTTCTGATACATGTCCTTCCGCAAGCTAGGCTTCTTCCGGGCCTTGGTGAGTTCTTCCTCCAGGTATGTCCTGCATGGGAGATGAAGGACATGAGTCTTAGGGCTGGGTCACAGCTCCCTATAGCCATGAACTGCCTGGGGAATGAAGACCCTGAGCTGGCTGTGTGTGGTCCCAGGACAATGGTCAAGATAGCAACATCTAGGATGAGGTGTATTCAGTGGGAGACCCATGAACTGTCTGAACTGATTTCAGGGAGGGTGTCCCCAATGCTCCCAGAGCACCTTGCTGTTGGCACTGTGAAGGCCTGATAAACTCGAGAGCACTCTCCAAGGACATTTTCTAGGGTCAGCAGAAGGAAAGTGTCAGGATAGTACTCAGTTTGTGGAAAAGAGACTGAAGGCAGGCTTGCCTTGGAACTCTGTAGTGCCCTGGGAGCCTGGAAAGCATATTCTGTCCTTCCACCCTGTCTCCCTGTCTCCCTGTCCTCATGCAGCCTGAGGCTGGGCTGCACCTCTGGCTTTTTTTGCAGCAGGGCTCATCTAAACATCCAGGGCAGCATGAGTGGGACCTGCGATGACCAAGCTGGAGTGAGAGCTGAGATGAGCTTCCCTTTGCCATAAGGTGGAGTGTGCAGGCTGAAGGGGTGAGGAGGGCACTAAGCTTCTGGGGGATGTGACAGGCAGAGACAGGCTGGGCTCAGAGCATCCTGGAGTGGAGTCCTTAGTCCAGGACTCTGGGGACCAATCCAGATCCCAGCACTACCCTCACAAACTCCCACCACCACCTCCAACTGGAAACATGACTCTCCTGCAACAGCCCTCCCAGCTTTGTGCATGCTATTCAGGCCCTCTGAGGCAGCAGTCAGCAGTTAGCTGCAGGATGGGGAAGTGGGCCCCTTGTGCCCTGTGTGGGTGTGAGCTGACCTCAGAGGCACCCTCCCTTCCCCCCGACCACTCTTCTTTCCTGTCCCCAAGCACTGTCCCAATATGCCACTCCACATTGTCCCCAGAATGCCAGTCTGAGTCCCAGAACAGACACAATAAGTATCTATACTTTACAAAGGAGGTGATTTCAGAAACCCCTGCACCCATTGGTATTTACACAGAAAGAGAAAACTCCCAATTCCCTGGGATATACATGTGTAAACGGGTCCTGGTTATTTGGGAAGACTGTAAGGGGAGTGCATTAGCTTGGGTTGGGTCCTTGCAAGCACACATCCCATGTGCTCATGCATACTCATGCACATAGCACACTACCGTGCATGCAGATACCAGGTTATCAGTGGACCTGTGTACTGTGGGGGAGGAACTCATGCCTAACACTTCTGAGGGGCAACACAGGCCTGCAGGGCAGGCAGTAACCACACTTCAGCCAAGAGTTTTCAGTAGCTCCTTAAACAGGAAGCAGACACATGGACCTTTCTTCAAAGGGGCCCCGCACCTCCATCTAGGCAGAGTCAACTGTTCCTCAGGCATAGACAGGGACTTGGAAGGGATGTTCCCAATGGATAGTAGCTGGGTGATAGATATATTAGAGGACCCATGGGTGCCTCTCACTGCCCATTGCACAGGGAATGCCTGAGCATGGAGAGTGGAGACCTGATCATCAACTTCTGGAACTCAGAGAATAGATCCTGTTCCCTGATGGCCAGAACCTGGGAAAGAGGCTGACTCAAGATAAAGAAAGGGAGGTGGCCAGTCCACAGGAGACCAACAGGTGTCAGCAGGGTTAAGGGACTGGACCCTGGGATGACAGAGGATGCAACCACAGTGACAGGGAAGTTACCAATGCAAGGATGCAGTGTGAGCACCCGCTCACTTGGAGCCAGGTCCCTAGAAACAAACTCGCTTAAGATACCTCCAGGGCTCATATGGCTTCCCTCAGTACCACCAGCTGTTACCCACCATGACTAAGCTCGGCTCTGCTGACAGGCCTTCCCACTATTTTGTAAGTCTCTGCCCCATGCCCTGAAACCTGGTGTTTGACAAGGACCCATGTCCCAGCCTCTTCCTGTAGCAAGGACAGGCCACTCTCCAGTGGCAACCATGGACTGTTTTATCTGAGCACACACACAGAGGGCTATGTTTCCGTGCTACTGCATTTGGGAGAGGACTGGTCTGCCTCTCCAGGGAGCCCTGTGGAAACTGGACCCCTGGCATATCCATGGAAGGCAGGCCAGGGTTGAGGTCCTGGTGTGCAGTTCATAGACGGGGCACATCTATACTGTTGCTATCTGGGAAGGTATCCCTGGAGACCCCTGATCAAATGAACTCTCTTCCTCCTTCTCAGTATCTTCATGTAAGAAACAACATCTGGTGGGCTGGGGAGATAGATCAGTGGGTAAAGTGCTTGCCACACAGGCATGAGGACCTGAGTTCGATCCCCAGAACCCACGGAAAAAGTAAAGCATGGTGGTCTGCAGTGGTCCTACTGCTAGGCAGGTGGAGACAGGGGGATCCCTGGGGCTGGATCCCTGGGGCTGGATCCCTGGGGATGGGTGGCCAACCAGTCTGCCGGATCAGAAAAGCTGAGGCCAGGAAAGATGTCTTAGAAAAGAGGCTCGCCAGTTCCTGGGGAACGAGACCCAGGGTTGACCTCTAGCCTCCACAGGCACACGTGTAGACAAAAACACATACCCACATGCAGCCACCTCAGATCAGTTGGGCTATTCAAATCAGATACAGGCTTCAGCTCTGAGCTCAGTCCACTGTCCAGCGTGGGTATCTGCAGCCCAAATCAGGCTCTCTGGGGTGGACATGCAGTACTTGAAACCTCAGAGGCTGACAGCCTGGAGGCGGGAGTAGTGTCCACTTATGACCCTCCAGGCTCTGGAGCTCTCTGCAAGGTATGGAGTCACCCTCGGGCCCACCTGCCACCTGCACAGGAACCTCTGCAGTCCTCAGACTCCATCTATACTTACATCCTAGTAGCAGGCCCTTCCCTCTTCTTTATTTCTTTTTTGAAACTGGCATGTATTACAAGCTTGCTCTGTGGTCCCTCTCTCCATTCCTGTCTTCACTGTGGTTCACTTACCAGGAGGCCATTTGTCTTGCCTCCTCCCTGCTGGGTACTCACCTTGAGGACCCCACCTGACTAGTGTGCAGCTCCTCTGCCTGCTCTCCAAGAGGCTCAGCACCCAGCCAGGACCCCTGCCTTGTCTTCTCTAGATCACAGGGCAGAGCCAGCATCCCGTGTCCTCTGTAGAGCCAGGCATGATAGGGAGGGGCATGTGCAGCGAGGAGCCCAGCTCACCTGATGCCCATCTTACAGTCCATCACACAGGGTGAATCGAAGTCAGCCAGCAGGTCGTCCATCTGGTTGTAGCGTTCCCCATCCTTCACCACGTCCCCATGGTAGGCTGGCACAAAGGGTCTCAGCACATCCACCATCAGCCGGTCCAGGCAGCGCTGCTCAGACTCACAGTGCTTCTTTAGGATGCGGCCATTGGCAGCTGCCTTGAAGCTCCCTGCAGAGTAAGGAGGAGGAGGGCCTCTAGCCTCAGCGGGAGCCAGGGATATCTGGGACCCCTCCCTACCCTCATCTCCATCTCTTCCAACAACTCCTTGAAAGCTACATCAGAACTGTCCCCTTCTGCTGCAAGATACAACCCTAGCTAAGCTGAGGGTTAAAGGTGTGGCCATTTGTAGACAAGTGCCTTAAGGCAAATGGCTTTGAGTCCTGGTTACCCATTCTCTGATTGCAACCAGGCTGCTCCTTGTCTCACCTGACTTCAAGATGCTCGCAACCCAAGTTATCAACGCGAGAGACTGTGTGTAGTTCTTTCTACCCACTCCTCAGCCTTACTACGAGAAGCTCACCCCGGCATCAGCCCAACTTCTTAACCAAGCTGATGTCCCTGAGTCCCGGGAGAAGTTCAGTGCTCCTTCAGAGCCACACCCTCAGGAAGTATTTGCAAAGGGTGTCCCTCTATGTCTTGGTCTAAGCCAGCATTGGCCTGAAAAGAACCTGCAGAGCCATGAAGTCATGAGGGCCAAGTCTATGGGTGCCTATAAGGTGCCCCCAGAGGACAAAGCACGATAAAGAGCTCCATATGGGGCCAGCACCTTGGTGGCTCTGGGGTGACTTGGCTGTATCTCCTGCCAATTCTCTCATGGCCTCTTAGCCACACCCAGGCTACTGTAGGCTATTCCAGACATCTCTCTCCACTGGCGCTGCAGCCCCTAGAACACGGTGATGCAGGCATACACCGTGGCTGCTCACTGAAGTGGTTTGGCTTTGCCTCATTGTCCAGAATTACAAAGGGTAAACAGGCCATGGAGAACTGATTTGGAACTGCATGAGTGAGTGAAACTGCAAGCAGAGTTGGGAAACAAAGAGCAGGAGAACTGGGTACAAGATAGGTAGGATGGATCTATTCTTGGGGTGAGTGGCAAGATCTTCGGAAAGATCAACTGTCTACAGACACTTACAAGGCGATGTCAAGGCCACACCTGCCAGGGTCTGTTGTTGGGCTGCCGTTTGGTTTCCTGGATCATAGGCACCAGCCCCTCTCCCACATCTACCCGGTACCTCCCTAGGAGAGCCAAGCCCGCTACCTGCATGTCCTGCCAGCTGGATCCAGGGGTACTTCTTCTTGAAGGACATGACAAAGGGGGACCACTGCACCATGTTCTTTATCTTCCTCCATGACTTGCTCTGGAAAAGCACAAACAGAATGCTCTGAGCGACAGACAGACACAGCCACTGTGTTCCGATCAGAATGGATTTAAAGCAAGGTAACTCAATGCCCAGGGCTGCCAGACCTGAGGGCCACACTCACTCCTCAGGCGCCCACAGTTGGGTTCCAGCACCTTGCTGGCTATTTAGCAGGCACAGGTAGCTTTGCCACAGTTTACAAACAGGTTGAACAAGGAGCTTAAGGGATTTCTTAGGGGATGTTCAGAGGTAGATGAGGAGGCAAGCAAAGTGCTTCCAATCCAAGGCTCTCTAACCCAGATCCTTCCTCAGCAGGGAACAATTAAACTCATATTGCTCCTTTTCACACGCCCACAGCCACCAGTGCCGTGGCTTCTTCATCTGTCCAGTGAGGGGCAGACAGCTGGTCCATTGGGTTCTTGAGACTCATGGGTACTAGGACTCTGGGAAATGACCTCCTTATACCAAAAGCAGTGCTCTCAGACTAGAGGGTCCCTGTCACTCAGCAGCAAGGTGTTGCTGCACAGCTCATTTGTAGATGTTACGATAACACTAAATGAAGAAACCCTCAGCAGAGGGGCTGTTCATAGATGATCACTGAGTACCAGGTGGGGGTGGTACACACCTATAGTCCTATCTGTTCAGGAGGCTGAGACAGAGGGGCACACAAGCTTGAGTCTAGATTAGATGATGCAATGAGACTCCACAATGCATGTGCATGCATGCACGAACGCACGCACACACACACACACACACACCAAATCACCTTCTAGGAAAGCAAGGGCCTGGAGGTTGCCCAGCTGAGGACAGACTCTGGAGAAGACAATGACAGACAGATATGTCACAACCAGAACCAGTTGGCTGGCATGGATCCTGGAGACAGCGGGAGGTAAGTGTGCAGGAGGTGACCATGAGCAGGGAGCGAGCATGAGCAGGTGAGTGCGAACAGAAAAGTGAACCCCCAAGTTCCGGGGGTTCCAGAGTTTGCACATCTGAGCTGAGACTTCCACTGGTTTACCTTTCCCACACAGTCTCCATTGGGAATTACCATGAACAAGGGCCCTATGGCCAAGGCCAGGGGGTCCTAGCATAGCGAGGCCAGATGCAGGCTGGTGGATTATTCCACTTGGAAGGAAGGACTGTTGTGCATTTGCCCCAGAAACGCGGACACTCTGCTGGTGGAGGACACAGGACTTCCCTTGTGTTTTTCAGCAGCAGCCTGCAGAGAGTCCAGCTGAACTCGGACCACCAACCGAGGCTTTGACTTTCCCAAGTGGCCTCAGACGCCTCTCCCTGACCTGAGTGGGAGAGCGTTTCTCCGATCTGGTCCTTTGTCACCTCCTGACCACCACAGCATCCACACAGTCTCCACGGACCCTCCCTGAGTGTCTCTAAAAGTTCCAATGCACAACAGGTCCTTCTGACCTCTAAGCACATCAGGTCCTCCCTTGTGCCTCTGAGGAAGCTGGCTGGCTGACTGGCTGCGGTTGGCTCTACGGTGACATATCACTGGCCTGAGTCAGCCTCCTGGATGATGGGCCTAATGGTGTTACTGGGGGCTGGGTGTGACAGGGCAGGGGACCCACTGCCAGCTGGCATGGCTTTTGTCACATACACTCACTCCCCGGCCCACCCAGTGGCAGATGGCAGAACTCATGTCAGTAGTCATGCAAACACAGGCACCAGCCCCAGCCAGCACCATGCTCGCTGTGTGGGTGCTTGTGACAGACAGGCTGGGGTCCTGTGGCCTTGTGCTGATCTTCACAAAGTCCCGTGGTGACAGGAACATTTTTATCTGTTTTGCAGACGAAACACCCCAGGTTAGCAAGTCATTTCCCCTAGTCCAGCGGTTCTCAACCTGTAGGTCATGGCCCCTTTGGGGCGGTCAAATGAACCTTTTACAGGGGTTGCTCAAGACCATCCTGCATATCAGATGTTTACATTATGATTCATACTAGTAACAAAATTACAGTTATGAAGTAGCAATGAAAATAATTTCATGGTTGGGGTCACCAAAACGTGAGGAACTGCACTAGGAAGGCTGAGAAACACTGCCCCATACCATTCTCTCCCTTGCTGGTGAGAATCGGGTCACACTGAGAACCTGCAATCCATCTCCTGTGCTGGTCCACAGTGAGGGCCCCTTCCATGGGTGCTGCTGTCTAGGCTTTTGACGGTTAGCATTGGGGACAGGAGACTAACACAATGGCAGGGATTCTGGCTGCCCCCTTAGTGGACAGACCCAGAGCCTTTGTACCATGCCTCTAGTTGCCACTGAACCTTGGTGACATCCTGTTCGGGGGCTGGTACACTAGTAGCACAGTCACACTCTGCTGGGTGGGATCAGAGCTGATGTGTGCTTGCCGGCTACGGAAGGATTTGCATATGGACGATGTGCAAGGGCACTTGTTGTGGACAGTGAGGAGCTGGGGTGTCCACCAAGAAGGGAGAGGGCACAGGGACTGCTGGGGACCTAGGGCTTCCAATCTCATTTCATGGCAGGTGCTTAAGCCAACTAAATCACAGGCATGAAGCCTTCAGGTAATTCAAGTGACCTGAACTGAACCAATCCCTGGATTGTTGTCTTAATCAGAGCAGCCCTGGGGGCCTTGGTCTGTGTCCATCGCCAGCAGAACCATTTCTTACTCAGCCAGGCATCAGGGTTGTACAAGGAACGGGGGTCCTGACTGTCCAGTTAAATTTGGATCAAAAGGATCAGAAAGCAGCCAGGTTGGGGAATGTGGTCTTTATATTTATTTGGATTTTTTGAGGCAGCTTCTCTGTGTAGCTTTGTGGACCAGGCTAGTTTCGAACTCACAGAGATCTGCCTTCCTCTGCCTCCGGACTGCTGGGATTAAAGGCATATGCACCCACCACCTGGCAGGAATGTGTTTTTTAAAACCCCCAAGATGCATGAGAGCTGTTGGAGGTCTCTGAGAGTTGAAATTGCTGAAGCAACTGAAGTTACTCTGGGCAGCTTCACAGCCTGCACCTAAACTGAAGCTGGGAAAATATCCAGAGAATGTAAAGAGGGATTTGTAGAGGAGAAACAAACAAACACACACCCCCTAAAACAAAACAAACACACACCCCTAAAAGGAAACAAACACACACCCCCTAAAACAAAACAAACACACACCCCTAAAAGGAAACAAACACACACCCCCTAAAACAAAACAAACACAACAAAAACAAGAGGCCACAAACCTCAGCCCTCTTTATACCTGAGGTGTGGGGGTGTCTCAGGGAGAGAAAGAGATGGAGGAGAGGGAGAGGGAGAGGGAGGGAGACAGTGAGAGAGAGGGGGGGGGAGAGAAGGAGAGAGGGAGAGAGAGAGAGAGAGAGAGCGCGAGCAAGTGCAGGGCAGATCCACACCATGCTGAGCTAGGGACCATTGCATCTGTGAGGAGACAGGCAGCCACAGCCTGACCCACGCTTTCCTTTTTCCTCTTTCTCATGAGCCTCTGCTTGAGGAGCAACTTTCTGTTTCCAGAACACAAAGCCACCTTGGGTCTTGCCACACTCTACCCTGGCACCTCTTTCTTTGGGTAGAGATGGCCCACTGTATGGAGGGCCTGCCTCAGCCCTGGTTGGACCCACAGGAGGGAGCCTGGGCAGGGTCTGGCCCTGTGTGTTTGTGTAGGCCTCAGGAGAGGTGGCAGTTCCTAGGCATGCCACCCTCTGGCTGACTGTCCTTTCAGACACCTGCAGATATGCTACAGGGATGTAATGCCTTAAACAAAAAGGAAGGAATTGTCTCTAAGCATGGCCAGTGTCTTTTGAAAAGCAGTCAGAAAATGGATGGTAGGATCAGAGGTGACAGGAGGCATGGAGCTCCCAGCACTGGTTGTGGGGATGGGAGGCCTCTGGCCTATCTCCTTCAAAGTAGCTATTAGCAAGGACAAGGCACAAAATGGAAATGAAGGGCTCCTTGTCCAAAATGAGGTAGGAATGTTCAGGCAGGGAGGGCAGTGGAATGTGACCTTTCCAAGGCCAAGGAGGCTCTGCTGTGTGACTCCCCAGGGCTGTCGAGAGCCTCAGCCTCTTAGCCATGCTCAGGCTACTGCAGAGACACAGACTTCCTGGAGACAGCTACTGCTATCCCAGCTGGATCCTTGACCGCCTGTCCGCCATCCTTCCAGTACCTGCTGGATGAGTTCTCTGCCCGGTTCGGGATTCAGAGCTGAAGTGACAAGCTGTCCCCCACCATCAGATGCTGTCTAAACCCTGCTTACCTCCTACAGTGCTGGGCTGTGTGTAGATGCGGGTGAAGGAGCGGAGGGCCATCAAGCCTTGAAGTGGGAGGGACCCTCTACTCCTCCAGGATCCACTGCCCTTGCATGGACACATGGAGATCTCAGTGTCCCCATCTGTAACCGGGGACCCCTGTGGCCCCATGGAGTCCCTGGTGATACAGACCCTCCTGCCACGTGTTCTGCTCTGCACATGGCCAAGTCCAGGCAAGCCATAAGGATTCACTTTGTCTTGACTTCAGACCCTTTTTGTTTATTTTGTTTTTCCTCCAAGACACAGTGTGCTGCTCGTAATCCACCAGGAGCTTCCAAAGGGCCAGAGGGCAAGTGCGATGACCATGAGGTGAGCCGATGTGTGACTGATCATTTATGGGTCCCCACACCCAGGCCCACAATACTAGACCCAAACCGCCCACTGCCTCCATCCTGCTTTTGTCTAGAGCAGTGGCTCTCCATCTTCCTAAAGCTGTGACCCTTTAATACAGTCCCTCATGTTGTGGCGGCCACCCAAGCCATAAAATTATTTTCATTGCTACTTCATAACTGTAACTTTGCTGCTGTTATGAATCATGATATAAATATTTGATATGCAGGATGGTCCTAGGCAAACCTTGTGAAAGGGTTGTTTGACACTTGCCCCCCCAGGGGTCATGATGTACAGGTTGAGAACCACTGGTTTAGAGGCTTTATGAAGCTGGATTCCCAAATGACCGACATCACCTAACGGGGGGGGGGCACAGTTTGTGG